GTGACAGGTGTGACAGGTGTGACAGGGGTGACAGGTGTGACAGGGGTGACAGGTGTGACAGGTGTGACAGGAGTGACAGGAGTGACAGGTGTGACAGGTGTGACAGGGGTGACAGGGGTGACAGGAGTGACAGGTGTGACAGGTGTGACAGGGGTGACAGGAGTGACAGGGGTGACAGGAGTGACAGGCATCACAGGGGTCACAGGTGTTTCACGTGTGACAGGTGTGTCAGGTGTCACAGGTGTCACAGGTGTAGGGGTCACAGGTGTGTCAGGGGTCACAGGTGTCACAGGTATAGGTGTGACAGGTGTAGGTGTGACCGGTGTCACAGGTGTGTCAGGGGTCACAGGTGTAGGTGGCACAGGTGTCACAGGTGTGTCAGGGGTCACAGGTGTGACAGGCATGACAGGTGTGGCACATGTGACAGGTGTGTCAGGTGTCACAGGTTTATCAGGGGTCACAGGTGTGTCAGGGGTCACAGGTGTAGGTGTCACAGGTGTCACAGGTGTGTCAGGTGTCACAGGTGTCACAGGTGTCCAGCTCCAGGTGGTGCCGGTGGCCCCAGAGGTCCCCAAAGTCCAGGTGCAAGGCAGGGATGTGACAACGGTGACAGGTGTAGGTGTGTCAGGTGTGACAGCGGTGACAGGTGTAGGTGCCACAGGTGTCACAGGTGTCACAGGTGTGACAGGGGTGTCAGGGGTCACAGGTATAGGTGTGACAGGTGTCACAGGGGTGACAGGGGTGACAGGTGTAGGTGTCACAGGTGTCACAGGTGTCACAGGTGTCACAGGGGTACAGCTGCAGGTGCTGCCGGTGCCCTCGGACATCACCAATGTCCAGCTCCGGGTGTTGCCAGCACCACCTGAGGTCCCCAATGTCCAGCTCCGTGCAGGTGAAGTGACCAACGTCCATTTCCAGGCCACCGAGGTCCCCAATGTCCATCTCCAGGCCACCGAGGTCCCCAACGTCCATCTCCAGGCCACCGAGGTCCCCAGTGTCCATCTCCAGGCCACCGAAGTCCCCACTGTCCATCTCCAGGCCCTGCCGCTCACCTCAGGTGTCACCAATGTCCAGCTCCAGGTGTTGCCACCACCCTCAGGTGGCACCGGTGTCCATCTCCAGGCCACTGAGGTGACCAGTGTCCAGCTCCAGGCCACTGAGGTGACCAATGTCCAGCTCCAGGTGCTGCCACCGCCACCTGAGGTGACCGGTGTCCACCTCCAGGCCACCGAGATGACCAGCATCCAGCTGGAGCCCATGGAGGAGGTGCCCAGTGTCCACCTGGAGACCGTGGAGGTGACCGATGTCCACCTGGAGAGCTCAGAGCTGCCCAGCGTCCACCTGGAGACCATGGAGGAGGTGCCCAGCGCCCACCTGGAGACCTCAGAGGTCCCCTCTGACCACCTGGAGGTGACCAATGTCCACCTGGAGACCTCAGAGATCCCCTCTGACCACCTGGAGGTGCCCGGTGCCCACCTGGACACCTTGGAGATGACCGATGTCCACCTGGAGGTGCCCGGTCTGCACCTGGACACATCAAAGGTGCCCGGTGGCCACCTGGAGCCCACAGAGGTGCACCTGGACCCGCCCTAGGAGGTGCCCGGTGTCCACCTGGACACACCTTGGAGGTGCCCTCTGACCACCTGGACACACCTTGGAGGTGACCAATGTCCACCTGGAGGTGCCCAGGACCCACCTGGAGGTTCCCAGGGCCCACCTGGACATGTCAGAGCTGCTCAGGTCTCACCTGCAACTGCCCAGAGCCCACCTGGACATGTCAGAGGTGCCCGGTGTCCACCTGGACACACCTTGGAGATGACCAGTGTCCACCTGGAGGTGCCCAGGACCCACCTGGAGGTGCCCAGGGCCCACCTGGAGGTGCCCAGGACCCACCTGGAGACATCAGAGCTGCCCAGGGCCCACCTGGAGACTTCTGGGGAGGTTCCCAATGTCCACCTGGAGACCACACAGGTGCCCAGGTCCCACCTGGAACTGCCCAGGGCCCACCTGGAACTGCCCAGGGCCCACCTGGAGGTGCCCAGGTCCCACCTGGAACTGCCCAGGGCCCACCT